TCATAAATCAACGACATAATGGTTTTTCTTTTCTCTGTCGCATAGTTCCGTTTCGTTTTAATCTTTATGCTATTTTCTTGACGGAAAGTGTAGCGTCTCATAAATAAAATATCTGACGTCGACATTAACAAAGTAATATACGCGTACATTATTAAGTGATTTCACTGACTGAAATGTTATTCTCAGTTTAACTCAAGTATCAAAAGAATACGGAGTGAACTCGTCTGTGCTCTCTAAAAAAAGGGGGTTATTACAAAACTTGAAAGAGTATAGAGAAGTGCAACCATTTCTAAACCCTTTTAGGTTTCGTGAAAGACATCGTGCAGTACTAAACCGTTTAAGTGCATAAATTCTAGCAGCTTTTTTTCTGAGCAAGTGGACTATTTCAGTAGCTTATGCGAGTTTTCATTGTATAGGGTAGCGAAAACTGAGCCAAAAAAATACTTGAAACTTCTGTAATTTTTGATTTTTCGAGAAAAAGTCATAAGGAAAAAAACATAACGAAATAAGCAAATGCACTCACTGATCAATCGTTTCAATGCACTTAAAATGGTTTCGTACTGCACCATGTCTTCTACAAAACCTAAAAGGGTTTAGAAATGGTTGCACTTCTCTATACCCTTTTCAGTTTCGTACTAAACCTTTTTTTTTTTCGATAGTGATGAGTGAACATTATGACGCAAGAAATCTTTATGAATAATATCCTTAGGTGCATTTGTAGAGCACTTAAAATGAGACAAGACTTCCTTCGTCAATGAATCAGAAACTGTATTGTGATAATGTTTAGTATCCTGTGCGATTAGATACTTAGCAGCGATTTTATAATTAGACACTCTCAAACAAGGATAAGTAAATCGCAGATGAACGTGATTTGTATCTAACCTGATATTACATAGTTCATTTCCCAAGCAACTGTATGCCAATGTGGTTGTCGGACGCCGTAGGGTTTCAATGTAATTAAATAAACCGAGCCAAACTGATCTTTGAGAATGGGCCAAACCTCTTCATTTGACCCTTGCACAGTGCCAGCGTCATACCGATTTGACGTCACTCCTGACAAATGAAATAAATTGGGATGTGCTTCATCTTTTCCTGCCGAATGAACCTACAAGAACAGAGATATCTTTTGTCGATCATACTCTTTACATTCATCTGAAACTCACCTCATCACCGTCGACTTTGAATATCAGACAAAGAAGAAATACGAAAAGTTGTAATGTATTCATGGCTAAAAAGAAAAGAATTTATTATCATAATCTGATACGCATATTGGATCAGAACGATTATGAATGAGATGGTATGGCATTTAATGCCTAGAAGAAAAGCAGTTTTTTTAATGAAGTATACACTCATATTCAATGACAGAATTCAAGAATTAGCATCGAGCTGTTTTATAATTTCTAAAATTTCAAAAATTCCGAGTTATCAGAAAGAATGCAGAAATAAACGTCAACCCTTCTCTTAATTCAAGAATTGAGAAAGTGGAATCACCTTTTTCCAGAATTGTAGATATTTATACAGCAGCTAATTTAAACCCTTCGTGTATACACTATACCGAGATACATCGACGTGTTATACAGAGGTCAGTTTTTCTGCTCTAAAAGCTGATTTATACAAAAAATCTTCTTTTAAACTAAGTCACAACGATAAAAAACGCTCCTACCTCTAGTCTTGATCTTCTTTCACTAAATGTATCTATCTCTTTCGAAAGAAGATTTTTCATTTATATATCGTACAGTAATAGACTATATTTGTACAACAAAAAGATTTATAGATAAAGAATAACGCGTCCTTTTATTCTCTCTCTTCTTGTCATTTTACATCTCGCTAAATAGACTTTTTTCTTTCTCTGTGTGTGTGTGCCTGGACTTTCGTATAGTCTTGTTTGGCTCTTTTTTCGTATCAGATTCTTTTCTCGTGATTATATAGTATTGATCGTGTTTTCTTTATTCCTCGATAATCATGGAACATGTCTCTCTTTTGGCGGTAAGGGGAAAAGTTCAAATGTTTCTCTTTGAAATAAAATAGCTTATTACAACCCATGTCGTGCTCTGTTTTAAAATACCGCCGGTTCAACAAAATACCGTCGGTATACCGCGTGATTAATCAACGGTAACTTATTAGACTGCGACCCAAGAAAATACCACACGGTAACCGTTTTTATTCATTCGTCGTTGTATTTTGCACCCGTAAAGATATAAAAGAAACGTAAAAATTCGAGAACTTGATTTTTTCTTCAGATTAAACTTTTCTTTTAGATCATATAGACTCGTTGACGTTTGAACTCCAGCTTGAGTCAAATTTCTCTCAATCGGGAGCCTGTCTGCGCTTACAAGTGCTCAACAATAGAAAAAGGAAAGTTGAAAATTAGTTTCGAACTCCTGTTCAACGTTTCATAATGATAAAATACCAGACGGTACCGCTGATTATACTGACAGTATACAGTGACATACCATGGGATTACCGCCAGTATACCGGACGGTATTTTCGTTTACTATGGCGGTATACCTCACAGTAACCGTCGATATTTTGCCGGTATTAAGCACATGGGAACCCTCTGAGTCCCATAGCAGCCAAAATGTTGCACATGTTTTATAATTATTTTTCACAACATAGTTCATAAAAATTAGTAGGTAGTCTTTTAAAATGAAGCAATGACAAATCAACCAATTAATTGTACTCATGTGGAGAGATATGAGATATAAGTCTTTGCCTAAAATAACTTAATATACCAGCCTGCTTCAATTCAATTCAGCAAAAATAATTTGGAACTCATAGTGTTATTAAGAATTTTTATTTAGTTCGACGTTTTGTCATTATCAAGAATATATGTGGTAACAGAGATATTACAGTAAGAGTAGAGTTAGACATACGAACTTTCACATGCACTTACATATACTAGACAATGTTATGAAATAGCCAGATATAGAAAAAAAGAAATAAAATAAAAATAAGGAGAGAGAATTGTACAGCTAGACAAATAGAAAATAGAAAAACAAGTAAAATAAAAATACAATTAAACAATAAATTCTATATACATTGTTAACTACAAGCGCTATATTTATTGTATATTTCAAATAAAGGATAATGGAAAAAGAAGAAAGACCTGGAAATAAAAAATCTTTGAAAAACCCTTTCTCTAATTTGAGTAATATTCAATAATTCAATAACTGAGAGACACTTTATTTATTTTCGATTCAGAGAAACGGGAATAATTTACGACAAAATCAATTTCAGTATGATTAGGAGTGCGTAATAGAGGTGGGCGAGTCACACCTTCTCCTGGCTCGCACTCGCTAAAGCTCGCTAGAGAGCGAGTGGTGGCCCGGCTCGACCACAATGTTATAAAATCAGATCGGACTCGATCTCGCTTGAGACTCGACTCCCATGCAAGTAAAGTCTTGTATATCTAGTGCGTTTTTGCAAACATATACAGTAAACTTTTAATTCTATTTATTATCATTATAAGCAGAGCAACATTACAAGCATTATCATCATTACAAGCAGAGAAATTTTTGCCGTACTATTGCTGACGATGAGTATTTTTTTGTCAGAAGCAAATATTTTAAATTCAAACGGTTTTTTCTTCAAATCCTCAGTTATATTACCGGTATAATTCATCTACGGAATTGAGGAAGAAGATACTACGTCGTCGTCTTCAAGAAAATGCCATTTGGATTATTGTTTCTTTGTTAGTTATATTTATAACAATGGCGAAATATTTTTATGAATAGTATACAACTGAACTGAAACAATACTTACAATTTGTAATAGTTCTTTTCTCAATGTAATTTTTTTAAAATCACTCGAAATGTTGAATTATGATAATAAAAATATATTAGAAGCCATTGTTATAAATACAACTAACAATATACCTCCTACACGATATAATATTGTTTCTTTCTTTCTCTCGAACGTCTGTAGTCAGATAGGCATTGACAAAACAAAACAAAACACGAACACAAATCAATCGAAAACACAAGACGCAACTGAAAAGATTTGCAGCTGAATGGATAAAAAATCTATTAATTGCATTACAATGTGCTCATTGTTACTACTGGGGCTACTACAAAAATCTGCTCGTGACTTGATCGAGCTAGCTCGTGAGCATGAGTATGCGAGCCGATTAGCTAGATCGGCCACTTCTGGTGCTTAAAGATAATTCCAAGTCTCTACCCACCATTATATGTTAAATATTCAGAAACTCAGCATGCTGATTTCCGAATACCGACGCGGTTAGTATGAAGTCTGTTCGTAGCCGTGGTACGGTGTGGAGTGGACTGGGACGATGAGAGTGAGCCACTACCCAACACTGAGTCATACGCTACAGTAGGAATTTCACCTGGGAATTCCGGATTATGTAGCGGTCCAATTTGGCGTTTTCTACTACATCATTATTTTGAACATGGTTGATTTCCACTATTCTGTCGTACCCAAGGATTTCTAAGGCCTTATGATTGATCAGAACTGATCTGCGGGAACCTCGAAAATAAATGGAAACATAGGTTTTCGACTACAATAGAGGGGAAAAAATGGTAAAAAATAAAAAAAGACCGCTGGTTCAGTATTAGCGGATGCGACAGAAAAACAAAATTGAAAATCTCGAGGGATATTTAGTATATAAAGCTTGTTTCTGGATGAACAAATGTCACTTTTTAGAGTACGAAGAGTGTACTTTTTTTTATGAAAATAATTCTAAATTTATGAGGTATCTTTTGGCTATTTTCGCTAAAGATTACGTTTAGGTTTAGCTGAAAGATCGGAAATTCAATCTCAAGGAACAGAAGAAGGCCAAAGTGTCTGCAAAAACATTATTTTGAGTTATTTGCATAAAAAATTGACTAAATTCTTAATTCATTCATACATTTTGAGCAAGTAAGTCTTCTACTTCAAAATATTTGTAAGAAAAAAGTACAACTTAGAACTCACTCCATCGGAAAGAAAAATAATTCATTTTTCAACGGCAGAGGGCACTTATAGGCGCACGACAATGCGCATGCTATATGGTTGTAAAGCAGCTACAGAACTGCTCTGCTTTTCAGTAGTGAGCAAAGGTTAGACAAATAAATCAAAAATAAATTCAAAAAGATTCAGTTAAATAAACCACTGTCCTATTCGAAATCAGTGTCCTCGAGTACCTACAATCAGCTTTACGTAACTTGGGAATGTTCCTTCGTAAGCATAATAAACTGAATTTTTGAAAAAAATGTTACAGTTCGTAAAATATTCTTTGAAAAAAAATTAATGATTTATTTTGTAAGATGCGATAAACTAAACGATGCAAATATGTTTCGATGAAAAACGTATTTGACATGCATGGATCTAACTAAAAAGAGACATTCGATAAAAGATACATTTTTGTTGTTGAATTGAACACTCAATTTTCAGTAAGTTTTTGCACAAAAATAATTGATTTGAGTTGATTTTAATTCAACATTGAAATCATACAAAAACACTTTCTACCGTTCGTTCTTCATACATACACATTACATCATTATTATTAGTGATCGAAGGGCAGAACCTTCACGATTCAGCGAACAGCTCTTATCCTAAAGCGACGGCATATAAAATGAGTGAAAATCTGTTCGCAAGTTGATACAATATAGTTTTTTTCAAACAGAGACTATGGAAATCACAATATTCATTCTCATAACAATAATTCATGTTGTAACAGGTTCAAAGACAAAAAGTCATCCTCCAGTTGATCTTCTAACAGCTACGATTCCTCAACTCAAAGAAGCCTTGAGCAGTCATCAATTTACATCGAAACAATTGATTCAGTGGTATTTAGAACGCATTACCAAAGTTAATCGAAAAGGTCCCAAACTTCATGCTGTTATTGAAACAAATCCAGGTGCAATGAAAATTGCTCATCAACTTGACCTTCATAAAAGCTTTCATCAATCACGCCCATTGAATGGTATACCAGTCCTTGTCAAAGATAATATTGCTACGGCCGATAAAATGAATACAACAGCTGGATCCTATGCTCTACTTGGTTCAAGAGTACCACGAGATGCTTTTGTTGTCGAAAAACTACGAAAAGCCGGTGCAATTATTCTTGGTAAAGCAAGTTTATCAGAATGGGCTGGTTTTCGTGCTTCGAATTCAACACGTCAAGGGGTTTCAGCAAGAGGTGGAATTTCAAAATCAGCTTATCTAACGGATGGAGATCCGTCTGGGAGTAGCTCCGGGCCGGCAATCGCTGTTTCTATCGGCTTATGTGCTGCTGCATTAGGAACTGAAACAGATGGAAGTATAATTCAACCAGCTGGTCGTAATGGAATTGTTGGTTTGAAACCAACTGTTGGTTTGACTTCAAGATCAGGTGTCGTGCCAATTTCACATCGACAAGATTCTATTGGACCGATGGGAAGAACGGTAGGTGATGTCGCCTTGCTCTTGGAAGTAATACAAGGTGAAGATTGGCGAGATGATGCAACACAGAATGTTCCGATGCGACAATCGAATTATACACAATATCTAAAGGGAACAAATGGTTTTAAAAATATGCGTCTTGGTATTGTTAGACAAGGTATATTTACGAATTTAAACAGCGAAGTTGTTTCAACATTTGACAAAGCAATTAAACTCATGAAATCGCACGGGGCTCATATACAAGATCCCATGGATATCGACACAATCGATGAGATTATGAATGGTACCGCTGAAGTAGAAGTACTTCTTATGGATTTTAAACAAGATATTCAACATTATCTAAGTGAACTCATCCCAAAGAGGACCAAAGTTCCTCGAACATTAGCTGATCTTATCGACTTTAATAACCATCATTCAAATAAAGAATTTTCAACTTATATGCCAGATCAAGATTATTTTCTCATGGCAGAAAATTCGACGACGACCGAAAATATAACAGACTATATCCGATTGAGCAAAAGTGTTGAACAAATAATGAATAAATACAATGCAGATGCGTTAGTTTTACCAGCTGATGTATTTCCATCCCCATCGGCTATTAGTGGACTACCAACAATAACAGTACCGCTTGGGTATTTAAATAAAACAGAAGGACTACAACCATTTGGCATTGCATTCATAGCAAGAGCATGGAATGAAGGAATTTTATTACAATTAGCTCATGCATTTGAACAA